AACCTAAGAATTAGCTAAAAATTAAAAGCTTGAACCCAGGCAATACCGGGTCCTAAGAGCTAGTTTAAACTATAATTCTTACCCAAACTCTAATTATTTATAAATGTGTTTAAATTAGTTCAAATGGTTATTTTTATATGTTGTAGTATAATCTTATAATATTTCTATGTTTCTTATCTATACTAAATATCAACCAAAAATAGAACTATGTAAAAAAATTCAAGACTCTGTTAAGTAAAGTCAGCACAGCTCAACTATCAAATATATCTATAAGCTATTTAGGGAGGGTAAAATCAAAGGGTGGGGGTTTCTTGTTTAATCAGGTCTTTATAAATTTTTTATAGTTAATTTTTTTAATCAGGTGGGAGGAAGAAGGTATAGTCTCTTAGTAAAATAGAATCACCTGATTTCTACCATGCCTTTACAAAAGTTGGCTTTTGAATCATTCAGATTAGTGAAATCAAAAAATTCTTTCATTATATAATTTAGTTTTTTTATTTTTCAAATCTTTATAAAAATTATTCAGAGTATTGGCTAATTCTTCAGCAGTTGGTCTGGTTTGAGGTTTTGCAAATAGGTATTATAGGCATTAAAAGTATTAGCTATATTGACTATATGAACAAGAGATTTTTTGCATAATAGAAACCAAACAAAGCTTACCTGGAATTAAAATTGCATAAAATATAATACAATGCAAAAATGCATATTTTGGTGATTTCTTCTACTGCTTACCAACACAATCGCTAACTTTGATGTTAAAACAAACCCAGTTAAGCTTAATAAAAAAAAGGCGAGGCAAAGAATTTTATTATGACTATATATCGAATTATCACTACAGAAAAACTGGTATTTTTTACTTCATATGCCATACTGAATGCTAGTTCAACTAAACAATTATAGAGATTCGTTTAGTTTACACACTGAAAGTCTAATACCAAATAAGAAATAAAGACACAAATTGATTTAAAAAAATCAATACTGCAACCTGTTTTATTCTATAAATACAGTATAGTACAATTTCTACTTTCTATTACTAAGTTAAAAATTAATCTTAATATTCATTGGTAGCTCATGTAATAATACGGTAAAATTATTAAACTAGGCGGTTTCGCCCTCTATATATCAAGCACTAGTTTTGTAAATAAAAAAGAGAAATTCTTTTATACTTTTAAAATTTTGAGATGTTAAAATCTTTTTTAAATCTTTTTGATAAGTAAATATTTTGTCTTTCCCTCATGTATTTTAACAAATACAATTTAAAAGTTCATGAATGCCTGTCTAACTTGACCAAGTAACCCTTTAAAAATGCCTTTAGTTTATCAACGTCATTTTCAAACACTGCACTAGCAATGTATAAATCAGGTCGAACAAGTACAAAAGCTTGTTGACCAATTTCTTTCATGATCCCATATTTTTCATGTAATTCAAATTTTGATTCAATAAATATATGTTGTTCTCGACCTTCTTCTAAAAATGGCATAAATGGCATATCAGCAGTTTGAACAGAACCCTGATATGAAATGATAATTGGAGTTATAGTATTTTTATATCCAGAGTAGATCTCCAACAGGGTATTTATGAGTGGATTGCGATCAGCAGTGACACCCTTAGTTAGAGTAAACAAGATCAAGGTGTGTTTCAATGTGGTTGAACGAAAGACATCAAATAAAGTTATACGATCATGAATTTTGTGTGGGATTACTTTCTTTAATAATCCATCTGGTGCATAAAGACCTGCTTTGATCAATTTGTTTTTAGGGCCTGAATGAGGTATGTATTTATGAATAATATCAGATGTCTCGGGAAAATATTTAAGATCAGTTTGGAATAAATTGGTCTGAAAATTAAATGCAAGTTGTGGAAAAAAATGAAATAAGAAAGGAGCCACAGATGTTCTTAAAAAAGCGGTAATAAAGTCACTATCACTCAACAATTTCGTAGCAAAACTAGTGCCATAGACAACATTCTTGCCAACAGAAAGTCTTTCCTGTTCATAACTATTGAGAAGTTTGTCAGGGTTTATGGCCCGATTCCTGATAACCAGAGCCAATTTGAATGCTAAGTTATGAGCATCTTGAATTCCCAAATTCATTCCTTGACCACCAACCGGTGAATGACAATGTGCAGCATCTTATTTTTAATAAACAGAAAGTAGTGAAATATTATTGTAGTAAAATAAATAAATATAAAAAAGATTTATTTACCTCCAGCAAGGAAGGCACGACCCATTCGATATTTATTTGCAACTCTTTCGCTAACTTTAAAATTAGCAATCCAAACCGGATCTGTTAGCACAAGTTTAATAGGAGCAGTTTTCTTATCGATCAATTTCTGCAGCTTATCCAATGTAATATGCTCATCAGGAACTCTACCAATAATACGAAAAGTATTTTTTCGAGAATCCAATGGTAATATTGCGATGTGCCCTAATAAATTGGTATAATAAAATGTGTGTTTAAATGCAATATTTAAAGTCTTTGAAAAAAAAATGCATTACCCCCAGCAGCTGCGAAAAGGGTTACTTGATCATCTTTAACCAATTCATGATCAATATTTAAGTCAGCTACGACCCATGAAGAGTTCAATGTTCGACCTATATGACATATAATTGAATTATTGTGATGTTATTAGTGAACATGAACTAATTATTTTATACATTCTTAACCTTACCTTCAAAAATCCAATCATCTTTTCCTTTTCTAACACTAGAATGTACACCATCGCACCCTACTAAATAGCTACAAATGATTTCTTCTTCCTTACCGCTATTTATATTTTTGAGAACACGTGTTATTTTTTGAAGGACCCAGAATTTTCCAAATAACACCCACGAGCATTATTTCGCACTTATAT